AAGGTAGTAGTGAAATAAGAAATGGTAAGATTACCACTCTCGTTGCTATCTCTCACATCTTCACAAATAATTAAAAGTTGTAGAGGCCTGTTCATCTGTCTAGTTTAACACCTTGTTTCAGATTTCTGAGAAGTTGGTTTTGCTTTTCTAGTAATGTGATTGTGCCAAAACACATTGTTATCCAATTCAAAATCATTATTTAATGATGCAGGCAAATTAATTTGCAATAAATACAACGTGCTGACATTTATTACGTCAGGTGCATAGGAAAAATTCATAACTGAACTTGTACTTTTGAAATCAAAAACTTCAAGAATCCTGAAATTAGGACATAGTGTATAAGAGAAAAATTTTCAGTTTTCAGAAGATAACCACAATTCACAATTGTGAATAATTTCGTTAATTTATAGTTATTCACAGTTAAAATTGTAAATATACAGTGGTGAGAATTGTGGAAAATATTGTAGATTATTGTGGACGTTCTGCGCTTTGGTATATTTCAAATCTAAATAATTTTACAATCATCTTCCAGGAAAACGACCTCAAATTTTTTGCAGAGATCCGTTTAAGATACACTATTATTCAATAATTATGAATAAACTAACATGCTGAAAAATGCATGAACGGTTACTAGAAATTACGTGACATTTCCAATAGTTATTTATGTATCAAGGGAATTAGGAGGGCCTTAATTACCGATGGCAAAGTTTGCATTATTTTTACTTGTGAAAGGTAGAGGGAATTATAAAATCTATAATGTCCCAAGGGAGTTATGACCCTCTTTATTGATAGCGTAACTATGACGATAAAAGCTTATAACATCCCGGTCAGAAATAAAAAACATTATCATAATTTGAATCTAAACATTTCCACTGAACAGTTTCCAAAACAGCAACACGTGTTTTACCACAATAGCTTCGTCAGGCATGTTCGTACTGTATAATGAAACACATGTTGCCTTTCTGTAAACTTTTCGGTAAGAATCTCAAAATATAGTGTTACTTGAATGCATTATAGATTTTCATCAAGTATCAGCCAATTTCATAATAAATCTAAACTTTTTTTCTGATTGATTCGGCCGTTACTTGATGAAGATCTATAGTAATTTCATAAACTACACATTACAATTTGATCTTCACAAATCTATTTAAATCACCATTACTAAACTTGTTTTCTTAGAAACCGACATTCTTTTATTGATATAGAATTGATATAATATATGCTCTAGGTAATCATAATTTGAGGATGTATCTGATTGAAGAAGTACCTGAGTAGGTATCTCTCAATTATGATTATGTGGGGCATATAAAAATTAGAGTATATAAAAGAATTAACTTTCAGTATGTCATTCACTACAAAAAAGCTACTGTGATAGCGAAAGATCAAATAGTAAGGTGTTTGGGAAAGAAAGTTTTTGGCTCCATCTTGATACAAAAAAAAAGGAGATGAGGGAATCTTCCAAAGAAAGGAAGGATGTAATCAATTTGAAAATAAGTAACTCTATACATGGATGTATAGATCATGCAAAGAAGTAACTTTCAGACACAAACTGAAAGAAAGTCCTCCTGAAACAGCTACTTTCATATAAACATTGAATTACACGAAAAAAAAAATTATTTCGAAACAAATACTTCTATATGAACACTGAATTATACAGAAGATACTTTTCTCTACTCAGTTTGTATTTCAAACATTCGTTGTGGAATGAAAATCAGATATCATTCACATGAGTTCTACTATGAATGAATGGTCATAAATTGCACTTACATGGAACACTGTCACCCTCACTGGTATACACCGATGTTTCGCCTTAAGACACTTGCCCCAAGGCTCTTCAGTACCAAATTGGATAACATTATAGAAAATACACGCAATTCATTCACGAATTACGATTTTTTAATGTCACGGAATAAGCTTGATCTGCTTATGTCATCGATGACATCGTAATGACATTCATTCACCTATTTGATTTAATCCCAGCCAAGAGGAATCTTATTTGAACTGAAGGGGTTATATTTTTTTTTAATATAGAAAGGTGATGTTTATGAAAAAATATATCTAAACATTTCAGAATTCATTACGATTCTGATTTGAAATTGCAATCATATGCGAATCACAACACTTCTAGAAAACATGTGATGCACTGTTTGGAACCTTTGGAGTAATAATGAATATTACTGGAGTTTTTCCCAATACCAAACCATTATTTTAACACCTCGACACTTATTTCGATCACCAAGTGACAATTTTCAAGAGGAAGATCAAACTAATCCTATTTACAAAGCTATCCTTATTGATAACATAGATACCTGTGTCTTAAATTAATTTCACAATATTGCCTTATCTACTAGTCTAAAATTAATTTTACAATGTGGCCTTATGTAATAGGTGAATCTAATAATTAAAATATTATAGTTATATAAAACTAATTTCACAATATTGCCTTATCTACTAGTCTTAAATTGATTTCACAATGTGTCCTTATGTAATAGGTAAATCTAATATTTGAAATATTATAAGCTATATAAAATCAATTTCACCATATTGCCTCATCTACTAGTCTTAAATTAATTTTACAATGTGGCCTTATGTAATGATTAGGTGAATCTGATAATTAAAATATTATAAGCTATATAAAATTAATTTCACAATATTGCCGTATCTACTAGTCTTAAATTGATTTTACAATGTGTTTTTATGTAAGTCGGGTAAATCTAATAAATAAAATATTATTTTAACAAGCTAACTAGTATACTATCAGGTATTGGTCTACCATCGTTATTCATAATATAATTATGTTTACTCATTAATACTCTCATAGGCATCTAGTTGCCTGTTGTTGTTAACTTGTCTAACTAATCTTAATGAACTGAAGTCTCTGAAATGGTTTTGTTGCAAAATATGATGGGCGACTGCTGATTTTTCAGGTCTTCCATATTTTAAGTGTGCTAAGTGTTCCTTATATCTTTTAGTTTCTTTTGAACCCTACATATAGATATATATGTTCGTGTTCTGTATCTAATATAGTAATATTACATTAATTATATTGACTCTGATAACCTTGTTATTCATACATCTGTGGTCATTTATATTCTTGACCAATATTAATGAAATTGCCACATGATTTCCTACTACTTCTGTAATGTTTACTGTAATTGACATGTTCTACTCCTGAAAAGGCATTTTTATTACAAAGAACTAATGAAGGATATCTATCTATCTGTCTACTTCAATACATCTTTTTGTCTGTCCATAATATTTGCATCACAGTCTTTACATTTAATTTCGTAAACTCCAGACTTATTCGAATTCGCGACATTGTCTTTTGGACTTCCTGAAAGGATCTGTGTGTATGACTTGTTTCAAAAACCGCCTTCATATCTAGTTCCTTGTATTGGTGGTATAGAACTGAGATATATTTATCTTGGTTTTTGTTCTTTCCGAAAGTAGAGATTTTGTTCATTCTTAACCTAAACTTCTTTTTCCTTATTATGTGAAATTATTTTAACACACTTAAGACGCAGGTATCTATGGTATAAAGAAGGATAGCTTTGTAAGTAGGAGTAGTTTGATCTTCCTCTTGAATATGATCACTTGGTGATCGAAACACGTGTCGAGGTGTTAAAATAACGGTTTGGTGTTGGGAAAAAACTCCAGTAATATTCACTTCTAGAAAACTTTTAATACTATGACATTTTTTTTGTGATCAGCTAACTCAAGTTCACGGTTCAACCGTGGCAACTTCTGTTGTACATTTGTCTATGAACTTTGGATTTCTTGACATACACAACAACCTCAATAACAATAACCTCAGTATATTACTACACACCTGGGGACTATGACACAACCACTACAAGTCTAACAAGTGTATAAATACATTATACAAGTGTAGATATTCTGTAACATAAAGTAACTTGTAGTTACTAGTGGGGCACTGGTAATTAGGGGACTTTCTCTACAATTGTAGTATCTTTTCGTAACACAAAAATTAGACTTGTACAGTCGTGTTACGGAATTGTCAACAATTGTAGACAATTTTCTACCTATCTTGATTGATAAGTAGATTGAGCGTACTAGTGTAGTGAAGTCTTTCATCATGAGTGTATATCTATAATTTGACTGTCGATATGTGGTCAAGCGATTCAGATAGTGGAAACGAAAATGGTCGTGCAGTATATCGCTATCGGGAGAGAAGTAACTTTGTCATACTGACAGACGGGGAATTTGTGGAAAGGTTCAGACTTAGTCGACAACACTGTCAAAGTCTTCTTCAAGATATAGGTCCAGCCATAGCGAATATAACGATTCGAGGGTATGGCTTGTCACCATTACAGAAACTGCTTATTGCTCTACATTGGTTTGGAAACGGAGGGCAATACCATGGAGTATGTGATATGCATGGAGTATCAAAAATGACCGTATGCAGATGTGTTTACGAAGTTACTGCTGCCGTAAACGAAATAAAATTTGATGCATTAGTTCGATGGCCCGACAATACAGGGAACGTAATAGAACGTTTTCATAATTTTGCAGGATTTCCTAAAGTGTGTGAATGGGAAGCATTTCATCAACTGCATGGCTGTATGTGGGCCTGACTTAAGGTTTTATTATATAACTGCAAATTGGCCCGGAAGTGTGCACGACGCGCGGGTACTCCGTGACAGTTCTCTGTTTCGTAGAATAAAAAACGGTTCAACAGAGCTCATAAACGGACTCGACGCATTATTGAAAACGCTTTTGGCGTATTGAAGGAAAAATTTCCATGTTTGAACCACCTACGAGTAGATCCAGCCTTCGCAGCAAATATTTTTAAATGTTGTGCAACATTGTGCAATATTACAAAAATTGATGAAGATGATAATATGGTATTAAATGGTGATGATGATTATCAAGGTGACGAAAAGAACCTCAGAGATAACGAAGCACCTCTACTAGTAGCAGCAGCTCGAGCTAGAGTTCAACAGTTTATAGATTATTTTAGGATAAATAATTAGCGTGAAGAAGAAAAATTAACTTTAATTAATTAAATGTGTAAGAAAATATGATTGTTTTTTACGAAACTAAATATTCAAATATGTGGTACGCTGGTCCTCTCCATAAGAAATGTAGTCTCTTGCAAAACTTTGTGTAAATTCGGATCTTGGAAGGTTTAGTGCAGTTTCCAACTGTAAAATCTCTAGTTTGGTCTTGTGATTTTGCAGTTTCAGGTGTTCAATTTGCAAGTCAAGTTTTACTTTTTCTTGTTTGCAATTTCTTCTTGACGTGTCATGCTACGCTTCTGTTTTCCTAAAAAATGTAAACTGTATGGTGGTAATTGGCAGATGTATACTATTAGATAAATAATTGGTTAGTGTTTGTTCAATAAAGAAAAATACATAAAACATTTTAATTAGTAGTTTCTCACAAACCAAACTGCAAAAAGCCATTACTGATAATGTTTCATAAACTAGGACTAATAATGTTTTATAAACTTTACCTATAAGGCTGGTTGAGGGTACGCCCAGGTCCTGCGTTAATATTCTTGGCTGTTCTGTTGTTGTGCTGTCTTTAGGTAGCGGTTCTGCATCGTCTACTTCGTCCAATGATGCTGGTACCCCAAGACCTACAATCACTGGGGACTCTTTTCCTAATATATCTAGCACCATATTATCGACATCGTTCAATTTCCCATGACCGCCTGTACCCGTTTTTCTGGCATTATGAACTTTTCCCTTAAAATAAAGCATATTTCAAATAAAATATTATGAATCAGGGCCTATGATTCTAATTCATTTCCAGCAATTGAAATATTTTAATTATTGAGAATTGACACGTGCGATTACTAAGCTTAAACATATTTTGATTCCAACAATATGCACTTGCCTATTAATATTGAAACACCTCGCATAAGTTCAACTAAATCATTAGAGTAACAAAACTAGTACACTACGCTCTTACGTACCATTGTAATTTTCTTCATATTTTGCCATAGTGTGTCTCTGGCATATGTCCACTCTTTATCTGAAGGCATTAAACAAACACTTTTTGCAACATTTGCTAATTCTTTTCATTTCTCAACTTTGTCTTGTAGGAACAACATATACAAGTGTAGAATATTTTACTTATAGCTACAAGTATATGAAATTCTCTTATGTTACGAAAAATTAGGATACTTGTAACTATAAGCGTATTACTTGTAATTTGTAGACTTGTTACAATTGTAAGATTTGTGTTATAGGCCCCTGGTCATTCACCAACTGGAATGCAAATGATAAATATTTACTGATGTTATGATTATGACGTACTGTTATACATGTTTTAATAAAACTGTTTGTGTGTGGGCGGGTGTGTGCGCGTATGTATGCGCGCGCGCGTGTGTGAAAAGAATTTGGAGAGTTATGGAATTGAAAAGCCTGGAGTAAAAGGAATAAAAAAGTATACAAAATTATCATCATTTATTTAAGAAATGTTTGTATATCTTAATTTAGTAAGCTGGATTGCACCACCACCTAGCCTTTAAAATTTGAATAGATACACTAAAAGTAATCAAAGGTACAAAAACATAATTTCTATAAAACCGACATGGTGTAAAAAAAAACTAGGCTTTACATTGTATGATATGTTCCCAAAGACAAACTATACACAAATAAATATTGAATAAATTGAATCAAAAATATAAGTATACATAACCATGCTGAAAAGGTGTAGCGAATAGATATTACAATATTGTTCATTACCATCATTACGATATTCACAGTTCACAATAAGTTTTTTTCTATATGAAACTGTATAGAGTAATCTTATAGTCTTTCATGTAGTGGTGAATTTCACTCATATTCATATAATTTGTTCTTGAAATTATGATTTGTTCAATTTTTTTCCTATAAGATTGTTTTGTAATCTTTTTAGCATGATTATTTTGAAATGACTGGTAAAACTGACTGAATACAGGATTGCACAACTGATATAAATATCAAATTAGTAGAAGAGTTTCGATTTGAAATTTAAGAAATAAAGTTACTTATCAGGAACAATAATGTACACAATTACTAATGCTAAGGGTGAATTCGAGCAAGCGGTATCGCCCTATCAGTATAATTTTTATGGTTGATGCTGGGTTGATTTTGCTAGAATATATGGCTGATGGGACTCCGACTAGCCACAGTACTCCCTAGGTGCTTCAGGGTGTTATTTACCAGAACACAAGGCTAATACTATAATAATGCTGTTAATACCGAAAAAAACTGATTATTTTAGTAATGCACTGTACAGGAAAGAGTATCAGAATTTTCCTGAAAAACAATTTACAAATGGATTTCCTCTCTATTTTTTAAAAATTCATAAAGAAATAATTTCTGTGAAGTTGATTCTCGAATGGAAAACAGAAAAATGTTCCGAAGTTTTAACTTACATTTTATGAAGGTGGTAACTATTTCATTATTTCTTTAAAATTACGTGTATGTCTTACAGTTGTGCAATCATTTAACCTAAATTAACAGCAAACAATATTCAATGAAAATTTTTAAGTAACAATTATTTGGCGAGTTTTACAGTTTTCTACATGAGTTAGGAGGATCAGTTATCAAATTCGGACACAATTATCTACTTAATATTATTATTTTCAAAATAATATGTATTTGTTTTGCTGGGAACAGTAAATACTTCTGCAATTTAATTTTAATCATTTCCTAATACTTTCAAGGTAAAACTAGTTTGAATACCAAAAATGTAGATGAAATAAATAGTCATAAAAATATCTTTGAACAGCCATTTTGAACAAAAAGTAACTGTTAAAAGTGGGTTTTATTTTTCACCATATTCAAGAAACATTTCATGTGAGATTTTCACCAAAGTTTTATGAAAATTCAACACGTGTTTCGCTATACAATAGCTTCTTCAGACAACTAAGTTAGTTACTATAAACACGCCTGAAGAAGCTATTGTATAGCGAAACACGTGTTGGACTTTTATGAAACTATTTAGTGAAAATCTCACAAAGTGTTTCTTGAATATGTTATGAATTTTCATCAAGTATCGGCCGATTCCGTCACATATTTTTCACCTTCCCAACAAGATGGAAAATCTATTGTAAATAGATTTGAAGAGTGATCATTATATATGAATGGATAATATTCAAAATTCATAATGATTTTTTTATTTGACATCGAGTAAAATAAATCTCTGTGTGTCTACTCAGTTTGAAAAGTTCCGAACTATTTTGTGGTTCAGCTAACCAGCAACTGAATTTGATGTAACTCTCACATTGACTTTCACTAAACTATTGAGGAGCTCGGACTGACAGGATGAAAATAATTCCAGTTGGTATTTTTTGTTTGAAAGTTTCCCTGCTGTCCAGTCTGCTTCTTTTGTAATTAGTTTGCGATAGTATACTTGAGTTGTGTTAAACAGATAGACATCATCAAAATTTATCTTTCGTGGAAGGAGGAAAAACGTTTTGATCTACAATGGTTTGAAACAGTAAAAACAAAAATTTAATATGAAAATAATGAATTTAGTTAGTAAAAATTGATTTTTACTTAGATCTGTTTTTATTGATTTATCAAATCTGTCTGAATAAGGGTGAATTTATTTGAAGAATTATTAGATACTGGATCAATGTTAAAATTAGTGCTACAAAATTTACTTTTTCTGTGAATACAGTTCTACAAATTACTTAATGGTATACCATTTTCCCAAGTGATGAACAATAATTAACAAAAACATTTTCATATAACTCGATGATTTTAAATATCATTCAATCGGATGTTCAATTGTTTCAACAGATCATTTCTCCTGAATAACAAACCAACTTTTCAATTAGTGATAGTGGAAATACTTTTTGGAAAAAAAAAATACGATAGAGTTTTTTTATAAGATGTTGCCACTGTTAAATTCCATCATTTCAAATAGTGTTGATTCAAACTATAACATAAAAAAAGTAAATTTCTCAAATCAAGCAGTATCCAAATATACCCCGTATATGTTGACCCATTTTTTATAGTTTTCAAATAATGAAATTTTCATTGTTTATTTTTTGAGAATATTTGGCCAGAATACCTGATTTATATTTTAATTTTTTTGGGAGGTATTTATATTTTCTTTTAACTCAAGTGTTTCTTACATTTCTCAGATCAAATTGCTTAGGACTTCTGTTGAACAAAATCAGGTTTTGAAAAGGTATTTTCACATTTTCGAAAAGAATAACAAATTCACTGTTCAATCCATTAAAAATGTTTCCCCCTTTCAATATTTCCGTAAAACTAGTCCTTTCAATAAAAATTTGTGGTGATATCGATTTTGGTTCAATTTTTTACCTGTTCCTAGAACTCATATTCAAATAGTTTTCTATATAAAAGTCATTAGCCAAATTGGTAGTTTTTCATGTCCAAAATTTTGATATGATAATTCTAATTTGCTTAGCCTCACCCAATTCAATTTTCATGAATTGAGTTTTGTGCAGTAATATTGTCCGAGAATGATTCTAAACGAGCAATTATTTAGTAAAAATTATGAAAATTTCAACTCTATTGGTCACCAATTATTCTATATAATATATACAAATGGCAGTCGTTCACAAAGAAGTTCATTTCCTTAACGTTAAAAAAGTCTTATTTCAGGAAGAATTGCTAATTAGATTAGCAAAATAAAAGTGATAGATCTGTAACTAACCTGTCACAGATAGTTTCTTGCAATTTTATTTCTCAGGGGAGAAATAATGATATAAATGTAACTGGATTAGACTCCATTATGCATTGCATACCTGCTGCACTATCTCGTTACTTCATCTTTAGTGGAATGCAAATACAAATAATAAATAAGGTATTTGAATAAATATTAAAACATTCGAAAAATATAAGATTTCTATAAATATTGCTGAAAATAAATTCGATTAGACTCAGTGTACAGATCGGATGAATAAGAAAAAATGTATACAACAAAAATGATAATCCTGTACTAATTCAAAATTGTAATTGTACTCTTCTTTAAAAAAAATAATTCAAGAAGTTCCTGAACTGTTATGAAAATTTTCACCACTTTTCAGGATTCCACAGCATCCTGAAAATATTTTACAGAATTAATTAATATCACACTGCATCACCCACTGGTATGTCTAGTTGTCTTCCTGGTGGTGCCTTGCTTGCCATTTGAAATCACTTTCCATTATCCATTGCTGACCCTCTCCGAAACTGCAGGCTTTCAATAGGGGCAGGTTGACGTCACTACTGTCAGGTTTTGTTAAGCAACTGCCAGTGTTAACATGCTTGATGGTTTTGTCCTGAAAAAATATCCAAAAAGAATTTATTGAAAATAACAACTTAATGAATTGGCAAAGAAAAAATGAAATGAAATTTCGTGAAAAATATCTTGTGGTAATGTGAGGTTTTCATTTACTTCATTTGAAATTACTTCATGAAATATTTTCTATCTGGTAGAGAAATGGAAACTTCCAGTATATTGTTGGAGCCACCAAAACCAAACCCGGAAGTAGTAGCATTATTGAAGGCTTTGGATTTGAAACAATACTCTTTCCTTAAAAATGTACAAGAGCTTCTTGCGAACGCACATCTGCTATAGATAGTTACCTTACAAAAGCCATTGAAAGTGGCCCAAACAATTCGAACCTTGAAATGATGATATGCTTTTATTAGGAGGCACTGAAAAAAAATGTCGACAAAAGATAACAGTTATTATTAGAACATTAGAATTTCTGAGGTGATATAATTAGAATGCGCCTACTAGTATAAGTGAGGATTGAACTTCCTTACCTGGTGAGTCGTTTAATCTCAAATTAGAAATTCTCTTATTTTATTCTACTCAGTGTTTATAACGAAAGGTGCTGTTTATATTGTTACAAATAAACCATTGAATTACGCTTAGGAGATGTGTCATCAAGATATTCTTGAAATTATCCTTTCATTATCTTAGTATCGGCGACAGGTTACAAATTGACATTACAGTTAGTTGGTAATGACGTTTGACAAAAGTATGCGAAAGAATGAAAATAATTCATTAAGCATAAGCATATTGAGTGCTATACCTAAATTGATGGAAAGCTTCATATGCTATAATATAAAACCCCTCTGAATCAGGTTATAATCGATGAGTAACATGGTTTTGCCAGGGCAAATAGGCCAATACTAATTTGTTGCTCTACTCTCACTATATCTTAAATGCTTTGGAGAAAAAACAGCAAGAGGATGTGATATACACAGATTTTTCCAAAGCATTTGACACAGTTAATCACGGGATTCTCTGTGCAAAATTGGAGGCAATCGGTTTCTTTGGGAATTTATTGAAATGGCTCACAAATTATCTATGTAACAGAAGACAAGTTGTAAAAATTAAAGGATTTATATCTCAACAAATCTCTGTTAGCTCAGGAGTTCCGCAAGGAAGCCATTTAGGGCCATTCCTATTTATTATCTTTGTCAACGATATCAAAACCAAAATTAGTCATTCTGAAGTATTAATGTTTGCTGATGACTTGAAAATATTCAAAACCATTGTATCCACAGTTGACTACGAACATATTCAGAATGACATTACATCTTTTACTGAATGGTGTGTAGACAATGATATGGATGTGAATGTGTCTAAATGCAAAAGAATGTCTTTTTCTAGATCACTTACTCATTACAACAATATGTATACTATAGTAGGCAAACTATTAGAATCGGTGAAATCCATACGAGATCTTGGTGTAGTGGTGGATGTCAAAATGGATTTTCACCTGCAGTATGAACAGATCTCTAGCAGAGCAATGAAAATGTTAGGCTTTGTATGCAGGACAACAAAAGATTTCACCAACATTAATTCTATTAAGTTATTGTATTTCGCTTTGGTTAGATCGATTACAGAATATTGTAGCTGTGTTTGGTCACCAACTTATGAAATTCATAAGTACACTATAGAAAAAGTACAAAACAAATTTATGAAAGATATTGCCTTTAAGTTGTCTATACCTTTCAGTGATCACTCTTTTTCAGAAAATCGGTCTGTAACTGGTTTACCGAAACTTAGTTTACGCAGAGATCATATAGATATTATATTCCTTCATAAATTGCTCAATTTTAGAATTAGTTGTTCAACTCTTCTTGCCCAAGTAAATCTTCATGTTCCCTCTAGAAAAACACGAAATAATCTAACTTTTGCAATAAATTACCCTAGGTGTAACTATGGAATGCATTCTCCTTTATCAAGAATAGTCACAAACGGGAATAATACAAAATTCGATCTCTTTCATATTTCCGAGGATATTCTTAGAAATAAGTTAAGATATACTTATTCTTATTCTCGCTTCATTTCAATTCTCTACTATAACTATTTGAATTGTTATTAATTATAATTAAATTAGATAAGATTAGTGTTAACAATCTGATATTTGTATAACTTATATTAAATGGGAGTTACCCGTGAATAAATAAATAAATATTTAGCACAATTTATTTTTTATCTCGAAAACAGATAGAGATAGGTATTGGACATTATTAACAAAAAAGTATTAAAATACCAGAGCGATTCCAAAAATGTATTAATATACAAGGTGTTCCATTTAAAAAAATTAAGTTGCTAGGACTTTTTGATGGAAGTGGCAACGCCGCAATGCTGAAAATATTTTAGATCGATAGAACAGGTAAGGAAATGTGAGAGGTGAAATTTTCAGAAAAATCATGCTTTGCGTTTTCAAGAAACGTCTAACCTACCATCGACCGTGAGTAACGCTGTATAAGCATATAAGAGGCTTCTATCTGCCACAGGTATCATTAGTTTTACTAAGCTGAACCATAAATGTATTGATGACCTCAACTTTTATTAATACCATCCGAAAATACCATGTCATACTACAACATAAACACTTAGTGAATAATTATTGCTCAATCGTTTATTCAACGGGTTATTAATGACTTTAAAATTTCGTAATACTATGAAAGTTACAAGTAAATTTCTCAGTTATATTATCAATGAACGCACCTTAAACTAAACTTGTACAGTTTCCCCATTGTTCTGATAAACTGTCCTAATACATGAAAGTAAATTCTTTCTTTTCCAAACTGAACTTTAAAACAAAACACCCAGTGAATCATTCATCCGTTAACTACAAAATGTGTAAATTGTATCGAAATTTATTATGAATTTTAAGAATAACATAAAAATTAAAGATTTTTTATCTTTACTGGGTTACAATCCGTCTGAAATTGAGAACAAGTTGAACTTTTTATATCTGTTCTGTTTTTCTGTTAACCAGCTGTCACACCCCTACGAACGACAACCTTCAGAAGTCGAAACTTGTGCGAGCTGAGTATTAACGGGGTCTTACCTTTTACCGTGTGATGCAATATCAATAAAAAGTAAATTCGACCAGTTAGATATTAATATTAATGAAACCCTAACTCTAGATACCATTATAGTTATGAAAACAGTGTCGAAACTGAGGTTATATTTTCTGTGTAGACAAGAGAATGCAAATGACAAATCATGCAGAGACTGTCTCTTCATTGGGCACACTGTTGTCAACTGAATGAATTTATTTTGCTTCATATCACCAACTCGAAGAAAACATACCACATTCAAAAAATGTAACTGAACCCCAACAAGCTGTATTCTGAAATTCTGGAAGTCGATAGAAGATTCACAACCAGTAATGATGTTATTTACAATATGAAGATCCTGATTATCATCAGTTTTATTGTTTTTAGGCACGTTATAAATCTGTTTAAAAAAATCTGTTTAAAATCTGTTTTTCCGTTAACTAGCTGTCGCACCCCTACGAACGACAACCCTCAGAAGTCGAAACTTGTGGCGAGCTAAGGATTAACGAGGTCTTACCTTTTAACGTGTGATTCCTAACACGGGTTGGACGGTAGCAAGTGAAGATCGATCGTTCAGACTAGGGCTTGAACCACCGACCAACACGGCAGTCAATTCGAGTGAGTGAACAAAGCACCCACGCCGAACTGCTTGGCTACCGACTGATAAATGTTTTATTTGTTTGTATTTGTTGCTGCTCATTAGGTTCTCCAAGACTGAATTGACAACAAGATTCTGTAGAACTCACATTTAGTCTATTTTTCATCTAAATTACTTTTTATTTAATAACATTGATTTCCTGTTGAAGTGTATCGTTGATTTATAGCTGCTTCTTTGGCAATAAGTTCTCTTGTATTGAATTTTGCCATACAATCATTAAGAGTATTTCTATTTAAATTAGCTGTTGCATCAATGCCGTTCAGGTTGTTGCCACTTTTCTCAATTTCCCTTTAATAGCCATTAAGTTGGCTCATAGTCATATTGAAGCATTTAGTGTGATACCTGTGCTTACATTTGGTACACTATATAGTATCATTTTTCGGTGGGACTTTTCTTTAGTGAATGTTTTGATCTTTTTTTTTCAACTGGGTTGTTTGTAACTTTTGTGAATATTACTGAAGTTTAATCCTAACACTAAACCGTTACTTTCAACACCTCGACACGTGTTTCAATCACCAAGTGATAATCTTCAAGATAAAGATTAAAGTTCAAATGACTGTGATTGAGTTGATATTGAGTTCAATCTTCCTCTTGAAGATGATCACTTGGTGATTGAAACACATGTCAAAGTGTTAAAAGTAACCGTTTGGTGTTGGGACAAAACTCCAGTAATATTCATTACTAGACCAAAGGTTCCAAGCAGTGCATTACAAGTGTAACTCTTGTACTGTTGTTTGCCCAACTTGTATCAAATCTTGGATTGCTATGAAAGAGGCTATGAATCGAATGACACCTCAATGTGGAAAGGCGAACTCAAATTTTGCAAAGTGGCATTTGTCATCTTAGCTCTAGCTGACTTACAGACGACCCCATATGGGAAGGTTGCCGCAGTCATTAAGGACCAATAAACTGGAATCCTTTCAGTAAGCAATTATAGCCGTTGAAGAGAATATTTCAGAAGATGATCCACAAGTACATTTCCAGAATTGCACATTCCCGCCTGCGTTGCTATAAGTTACAAAGAGGATCTGGAAAGCGTCTTCCTGAAATACATCACAGAAGACGTATTTTCCAAATCACATATCCGCTTTTTGATAGGTAGAATTATTGGAACCTCTGGCCTAAAACGATTATAAAGAAAATATTTTCCCACACCAGACCAAAAAAACTTTCTATCGACGCGCGTTTCGCTAACCAAGTATTTTCTTTAAATTCTCACATTTGTATATGAATATTACTGAAGTTTTTTTCTAACACCAAACCGTTATTTCAACACCTCGACACGTGTTTCGATCACCAAGTGGTCATCTTCAAGAGGAAGGTCAAACACATTTGTGTTGCATACCTACCTAACGAAGGTAGTGGCAGATTGACCAACAATTAGGTCTTCGCTAGATTGAGGAAAATAAACCATGATCTGTCAAGGAGTGTATCAAAGAAATTCAGGCCATGCTAGCAGAGAATATACTCCGTGTCTGTCCCGCCGCAGACTAAAAACAAGTTTTCAGTGATTGACAGAATCCCACTCTTACCAGCTGACCTGAAAGATATCTCATCAAATAAAGTAATCTGCACCGTTAAGAAGCTGGATTTATTTGGTTGAGTTAGAATAGGATATGAGCCATGATGAACCGTCGCTGGTTGCAGTGGAGGATTAAAAAGACCTACCTACATGTCTCACACAACTATCTTTCACCACTAGGATTCTCTCCTTCATTTTGAAAGTTATTCAGTTGGTTGACAGACCTGTTCAAGCATTTAATGTGTGATACCAATGTCTTACATTTGGTATATGATATATCATAATTACACACATTGCAAGTATTACAACCCATTCTCAAAATAAAAAAAAAAATGTTAATTTTATATTTTTCAATTATTCACAGTTTTTCTATTCTTAACTGTGAATCGTACATAATTTATCAGTATCCAACTTTATAACTTATTACGAATAACATACTACTAGGATATTTTTCTCTATGCATATACTATTAAGAGTAATCAATTTTAATACCAAGAGGTTTGCTATGTGCACCTGAAGTATATTTGTTGTTCATGGAAATTTCTGAGACTTCTGATCCAATTGCACGGAATTGGCGTGTGTGTATGTGATAAATTTATTTCACTAGTTCTGACTTCCATTGTCTACTATATAAAATGATTTGAAATCCCTGAAACAAGTAAATATAATTGTTATTTTCAACTATTCTTTTTTAATTATTCTTTTTTACTTGTTTCAGGGATTTCAAATCATTTTATATAGTAGACAATGGAAGTCCGAACTAGTGAAATTCATCACGAAACATTGTCAATCACCTTCAAACAAATGATAAATTTATAATCACTGCAAGCATTTATGACTTCCTTTTCAAAAATGAACATGCTGTGAAAGAATTTCAATAGGTATACATGGTAAACAATTTTATTCAACTCAAAATTTAAACAGATGGGCTTTAAGCATTGGCTGCCTCAAAAAACACTATGATGAAACAACTCATTATTTGTGTATAAATACTTGGTATTTTGCAAAAAAACATTTTCATGTGATATTCTCTCGTTTTGAAATGTTTTGAAGTTAATAAATGCTCACATACTACTTACCACTACATCATAAAGCCAAGCTTGATTACCACCCATTCCATGGCATCTTACTAGTTTAACAGGTCCTGTCCTAGAGCTTGCATCAAGACAATTATCATCCGACATAATTTGTTGTCTCTTCGTGTAAGCAAACACTTGATTTCCACCTAAATTATGACAATAAGTCATTCCTACGTTGTCTCCGGACTTCCTTCCCATTGTGTCCAGGCAATTCTTAGTTTGCACATTACGTATCTGCGAAAATAAAAATGTATTTATATGATGTAATTGGCCGATACTTGATGAAAATTCATAACTAACGTATTCAAAAAACACTTTATTGTGAGATTTTCACTAAACAATTTAAAAAAAAAACAACACGTGTTTCGCCATACAATGGCTTCTTCGGGCGTGTCTTTACTCATCAAGTAAAAATGTATTCAAGTAAAATCGGTTATGAGGAAATTCGATTAGATCTATTGACAAAACTCATTAAAATGTCTTTCCAATGAATTATATTTTACAGTAACAATTGACATAATTTTGAATTGAATAAAGTATAATTTTTGTCCTCATCAAGATTCGACATTTGAGAATGCTTGCTGATTTCTCACAAAAAAAATTATTCAAGAGTATCATTATGAACTTTTTTATTTTCACTTTGAATTCACATAATATCCACAAAAATTACTATTTATATTGCGATAGAATTACGAAATGAAAAAACAAAAATATATTAAATGTGGTGGAATATTAATGAGCGTCATATTCTAAATTACGATGGAAATGTATTGATTGTAGATTCTGTTGGTAATCATATAATATATAATCAGGAATACTTTCATTGTATTTTTCAGGTACCTATGTTTGATGAAAATAACTTACATCTCCCAAGTAATAGTACTCCAATGGCATCTGGGACTCGGGATAAACGTTTTCCAGGTACCACCTGAAGCTTTTACATTTCAGTTTGCTTCTCAATTCTCGTCTCGAAGAAATGTCTCCAACAGGTACATTTCTTGCACCTGAAAGAAAACATGTTTACTTTATTATATTATTGATAGATAATATAATACATGCAATTTCATTATATTATCGAAATGTTCAGAGAACCATTAGTTGTTGCTTTTATAATGAATGGTGCTGTGGTCCACAAAAAAGTGCTCCTTTTTGTATGTACAGACATTCCAGAATAAAATGAAAATATAGAAATGTTGAAAATGTACCTTTCCTATAACTCTACACATGAAATTACACTGGGGGATTTTTTTTCTGTTGACCTTCAAAGAAAAAGTAAAACTTTACTCGGTCTACGCAAGAAAACTGAGTTGCATTTCAAAGTACCATATTAAACATCAATAGGAAATAATTTTCAAAATAAAACTTCTTCAAATAATTGAATTATCTAACTTCATAAATAACAAAAATATTTAAATGAATTATTGATATATCTACCAGAATTATTTGTCTCCAGAACAGTCATTCAAGGAAAAAGCTTATGGTGGGGTTACCAAGCTGAAGGTGGAACTGATGGCTATACTCAATTGTGGTTAAGCAAATTACAACATATGCTTTTTTGCTTTGGTGACCAAAGATAAAACAAGCCACTGCCATTAATAAAATGTTTGGAAATAACCACACCAACAGTAGCATTGGTCTACAGACAGGTCAAAAACCGAACATGGAATAGGAGAATTAATTGCTCTTTCAAGCCAAATTGTATAGAATCTTGCAGTGCACAAGGAATATTGATTTAAGGCTACTAAAGTGCAGAGGGGGCATTGATGAACCCAAAAGTGACATCGATACTGATCTGGGAATGACTTAAAGAACTGAAGAAACTGGCAGATGGGAATAGTTTGACTCTATGCTGGTTGCCTGGACAATCAGGATCACAGACAATAAAAAAGCTGATGAGTATGGTAAACCTGGATTATGAGCTTCCTATAATGGTCCTGAACCAGTTGTGGGATCACCATAGGGAAAACTTTTATAAAGCGACCACCTAGAGATCTGAAGAACTGCTTCAACAAGCAGGGATCGTCTGAGAACAACAACAGTAAGTACAATTCATTAGATACGGACCATTTAGACATCTGGTGGACAAAATGGGGTTGTATAATGGAGACTTTAGCTGCAAGAAATCCAACACAAAGTTACAGAGACAGAATAATATGAGACACTGAATCACAACAGTAGGCAAGCAATTTATGGACAGATAAATGAGACTAAAATGCAACAAATAATATGGGGAACAAAACTGTAGGCTGAGAGTCATGGAAATATTGGAAAAAAAGGCAATAAGCCCCAAAGATTTGTGTTTTCCGGAACTGACCATTTTCAGCATTTTTTCAAAGGATGCGCGTTATTACAAGATACGAGGGTAATGTGAAAAGTACTTTTTTCAATGAATATTTATTTGTCAATGTCTAGAAAACTTTTTGAAAAAATTATTAAAAACAAACCCTTACTAATATTTTAACACACAATACCAATCACCCTTATTATGATGACAACAAGTTTGTTACTTTGAGTTTGTTGGGGATTCTAAGTTATTTTCTATAATTAATGACGTGAGTGATTCTACAAATATTTAGTCTCAGAATTTATTGATACTTGGTGAAACAGTACTAAAGTGAAACCCAATGGGAAGTGTAAATTATACCACGAATTCCTAAAGTAATAGTTTCCAACTGCAAAAACTTTCAAAGTATTGAAGTTGTGAGACCGATGTATTATACATATGTATCTTCAAAACTGGAATATGCAAGTACTATCTGGATGCCATTCCATGAGAATAATAAGATGATTATTGATGGAGTATAGAGGGAATTCTCTAATTTTTAATTTTCAAAGTAGTTGGTACTTATCCTAAAAGTGGTATTAGTAATAATGAATTATATAAATGTATAGTTCTTTTTAGTCTGGAACGCAGCAGAAATTGTGCATCAGTGTTTTTACTGAAATTAGTGAATAATAAGAGTAAACTGTCCTAAAATAAAAATAAAATTTCAACATATAGCAGTTTCTCTGTCACAGTATCACTTTACTTTAAGACCTCTCATAGCAAAAACAAACATAATGCTCAATTTTTCATTATATATGTCAAAATTTCAATAGTATCTAATTCCAATGTGATGTATTATAAATATATCTAAGTAACATTATCAGAGTTGCCAACTTATATTAAATCTAGATGATAAGGATTGATGTCGCTTCATTAATTTTTTTTCTCTTCTTTGTATAATTCTGGATATTGCCCTGTAAATGAGTAACTTTGGACAATAAAGCTGTTGTTATTATTATTATTATCATCAAGGAGCACACAGCAGTTTAAACTGCTTCAGATATTCATCAAAAGGATTATCATGCAAGCAGAGAACGTCACCTCAAGCAAAAGACATACAATCATGCTGTTAAACGAAATTAGACCTGGGTTAATATTATAGTAGAATTCCTTCCATTGATCCAACCAGACCTCCGCCAGCCGAGCATTGTTATGGTTGACGATCCTACTTGTCCCACCAGGGAACGAGTACGGAGTTGATTTTCTAAACACATGTCCCACATGAGAACAAGTTGCTATTTCCAGCTGACCACCGCACATCCACACCTACAGGCATCATGGCAGAAAAATATAACATGCACCTCATTAGTCAACGATTTCATTAGCACAATGTTGGAGTAACACAAAAAGTACACAAATGCTTGGTCAAAGGAAAGTAAAAACTTATCATGCCCCAAAGATTGAATGTACTATTACACCCTGTGTCTATTGACGAGGCTTTGTTTAAATGAAGGTTTATTCTGAAATGAAACATTCATGAGAAAATGTGCATTTTCAAAAAGTTGCTGTAACTTTTTTCCAGTCAAAAATTTCTTGTTTCTATGAAAACATTTCCAAAACACATTTGTATGTAGATTTCAATGTTGTAAAAAACATATTTTTTCAAATGAGACATCAATGGTTATTGATGGAAAACTATTTTTTTAATGAGACACCCTGTATATTCCTGCATAATTCAATAGAGCCTAAAATTACCTTTCCAAAAATGTAGCACACTTGTTTTTCTAGAGTCATCTTTGAAATACAGAGCTTTTAGGTTTTTTCATGTAGACTTTGAAACGCACACTTTGATCAATTAGGCTTTGGACGACGCGGCGATAAAACAGAAAGAAATTGTTCAGCAGTAGCTATCAAATGTTGAGAAATATTTTCACAGCCGTAATCAAAACGAATAGTTTCAATAAAACTGATACAATAATAATAATGATAAAGAACAAACAATGAAATATATTTCTTCAGAGAAGGTGTTCAAAACGTCTACCAGTTTCTTCTACACACAGGCGACACCTATTCTAAACGTTTTTTTTGCCGAATTCATTAGTTTAATAGGAGTGAGAGAATCAAAACATTACTTCTAATTCGTATCTAGAATTGGTTGGCAATTTGAAAGTAACATCTTTCAACCTTCCCCAGAGGTAAGAGTCTATAGGCGTTAGGTCCAATGACCAGGCCTGCCAACAGTTGGGTCCTTGGTTGGCTATCCAATAATTACTCATTAATAGTTTATTGTATGATAGCGTAAAATAAACGCTTGAGAAAGCTTTTGTATAGCGAAACACATGTCGCGGTTTTTGTAAAACCCTTTATAGTGAAAATCATACAATAAGTTTTATTATGGATTTTCATCAAGTATCGGCCAGCTCTTTTCAATTACCCAATTGTTATCAAAATTTGCACTCAAAAAAATGGTGACAATTGCAGTGTTGTGAAGCGAAGCACCGTCTTTTGAAAATATATTTTTCTGAGTTCCATTAGTGGCAATTCATCAACAAGTGGTTCAATATTTTGCCTAAAAAATTCTAAATAACTCTGAGATATGAGAGTGCCATTATAAATGAACAGGCCAATAATTTTACCTCTGAAAACACTTGCCCACACACTAAATCCAAATTTTCCACAACTTATCTGCTCCACAATAGAATGAGGATTTTGTTGTGCCTATCCGATTTTCTTTTGGTCCATGACATGAAAATTTCCTAGAGTGTTATAAAGTTGATTTGTTTTCAAAATACATAATTCAACAAAAAAAAACAAGTTGCCTGGGACAGAGATGAGACCATGGTGCCTGCTTGTAGAATTTTTTTTTCAAAATTATTTTCGCACATAGTATATTACCATTTTATAGGAAAGATAAGTTCAACACTGACAGAGAGTGGATGTTAGAACCCCGATTGTTATAACGACTGATGTTATATACTCACATAAATGTGGTCACTGTTTACCATATTTTCGTAATATAGACCAAGTTTACACTGCATCTCAAAAGTGGATTTCAAACAATTATGCAAACCACCTTCAACTCCATATAAATACCATTTTAATGAAGTTATTAAACAATTTGATTATATTAGAACTTTCGGAAAGAGAATTCGCATTATGAAACTGAATTTGTTGAGTTGTATAAATATCCACTGTGATTTTTGAGTAAGAATCAAAAACAGACAAAAATTAATTATCAACAAATGGAAAATATGTATATAATTTTTCCTTTTTAAGCTGAATATAATGATCATATACTGTATACACATTAATGAAGGATACTATTCCACAATTTGTTATTTAATTAGGAACAAGAGTTATGAACAATCTCGTACCTATATGAAAAAGTAAAAAATTTCTTGGCAAAAAATATGAGGTGATCACAAATTACCCCACAAAAAGTCCACTTACACGTCAATTATCAAGGATAAGCAATTAAGGTACTGTTAGTAACATTCATTAGGTAATAATGTTAATAATGCTGTTAACAAAAAAATCTCCCAAAAAAACTTTCCAAAGCTGTAACATATCAAACCTGGATTCATGGCGTAATAAAATTCTCCCCATTCGTCCATCCAAACCTCGGCTACTCTGGCCGCATTGTGCAGCACAATTTTCGAGACACCGCCTGGGAAAGTGTAAGGGGACTTATCTCTGAAAACGTGCCCAACATGGGAGCAAGGGATAATTTCTAGTGTCCCACCGCACTGCCATACCTATACATTCATCATTATTGATAAATAAAATGTAAATGAAACAACTTTTATGTAACCTCCCATGAAATAAAAAATTGAAGAATTGTAGAGACACAGGGTGGTGAATGAGTGAGTTTCATTATATTATAAAAATATCGTGAGATATTTGAAAAAAAATTTAATTGGGTGTCACCCAAAGACTTTCATAGTCTTAATTCTGATGATACAATTACAGGGAATGGAATAGTATTGATGAAATACACATACTCTGAAATTTATTTCTAAATTCTCAAAATAATAAAAATTCTATGATAAAATGTGCTTTTAACACATTCTCTAATTTATTTATTACACTAGCTGTTGTCTCTAATTTATTTATTACACTAGCTGTTGTCCATGACTTTGTTTGCGTCGTCTTCAGTATATGATTTTTCTCAGATTTTTCAATAGCAACTTGTATTCGCCTATCTTCTATTGATAATAAAAATCATTTTATAAACCATAAATATAATCGAACAGAATTTTTATAGTAGTTTCTTCAACAAGTGTGCAATGTGACTATTTAAACTGGCATAACTTTTTGATTTATAAAGCGATTGAAATAAATTGAACACTAAATGTTGAATGAAATATGCCATAATACATTGTGAAAATTGCACACAAAAGAGTCGTTTTTGTACAAACACACATACAAGATGAACAAACGACAAAATTTGCAAAAACATTGTTTCAGGTTTCATTGTGTTAATGAAGACCCTCAGTAATTTTTTTTTCAAATGATCAGTGATCTGTATGAACTCCTAAACATTCATTATGAAATTGTAACAGATCGGAACTATATACAACATAATATATAAAACAATAGATATAAAATGTCAATAACATGGAACACTGTCATCCTCAATGGTATACTTTGAAGTTTCGGGACAAGACACTAGTCTTATCACCTCATTAGTACCGTTTTAAATAACTATGAACAAGACTCATTTCTTTCATGAAATTAGGACTTCATCACAAGAAGTGACAAATCTGCTCTTGTCAAGATGAAAGTACGTATACACATTCGAAATGAGATGAAGTAGAAAACCAAAAAGCCTATTTCTCAAAAAACTGATTTGTCCTAAAATTATTCCCTTTTCAAAGCATGTATTGATTGACTATGAAGTGTTTCCTATTAATGATATATATCACTGATTTTTTTTCCTGCCAACTCTAAAATGGAAATATGATTAATATAATAAATATATATAAATAAATTAATACATAAATCGGCTCAGAATAGAACCATGAAAAACAAAACATATAACGTTCTCTAGTTCTCACTGGTTCAAATACAATATGAAGATTTATGAAGACTTTCCAAATTTACGTTTATTAATTACCTTATCTACTATATTTGAAGAGTGCTTTTTGCTTTCAGCTATATCTAATATAAAATTGACACCCAAGAATGATAACTCTTCGTTGTTTTCAAATTCATATGTAAACCTAATGACCTTTGATTTCTTTGTGTCAAAAATCATAAATACATCATCTACATATCGGATCTAAGTCAATGGGAAGTAATATAACTGTTCTTTTGCTTCAATTCAAATCTGCTCATGAATTTATTAGTTATGAAGGAGCGCAGTGGATTTTTCATTGATGTGCATTCGTGCTGCCTGTAAAAACAGTTGTTGAACTGTAAATTTTGTTCCTTGCAGATATTTGTTGATTAAGAGTAGCTTTCGATTACTTCTCCACTGATACTATTGATCATCAGACCTCAGGTGAAACGCGGGTCGAAAAGAGTATTGCAGATCTGTTTTTTGGAAAAAATGCTTGTTTTGTGTTTATTTTATGCCATAGGTTACAGTTGAATCTTTTATAACTCTGATGATGTTTAAAAAAGCTGACAACAGAAGTTTGTTTCAATTTTCCATTCTGACCCATTGATAATTTTGCATGAGAATCTTATTTTGTTTCTCAAGGATTTTTTATATCTTTTTAAAATAATGTAACTCTACTCACACTATCATTTCAAGTCAAGCGATGATAAGATTAGTAAAATATCAGCTTGCTATGGATTATTAATATTCAATGACTTGAAACTTTAATGAGACCCTGATTAGTTATAACATTCTGCAGTCAGTTCTAGCTGATTTCGATTGGGCAATAGAATTTTTTAGTTACAAAATAGCCAAATATATTGAGGTATTTATTTCTATATTCCAGAATGGTGTATCTAATCAGTTCAATTTTTGAGTAAGCAAAAATGAATGATAAAAAGCACTATTTTCTCTCTCACCCTAAAACTCATTTCCAAGTTTTCTCCACCCCAAATATCCATTCCTTCATCATAGGAGCCAATCTCATAAAAATAGTCCCTATCAATGGAAAAAAGTCCCCCTGCCATTGTTGGGGTTCTCAGAGGGGCGGTTCTGTCTCCATTTCGCCTGTCCATTTCTCTTTGAGGTACTCGATACCTATAAGTAAAATGGATAATGATTAATTATCGGTATTGGTTCAGGTATTTTTCTCAACATTCATAAAATGATTCACTAAAAAACTAAGTAAATTATACCATGCATGCAAAACACTTTCATTCTAGTTTAATAGCCATATTTATAAATAGCGCCTTCAATTTTGTCATTGATATTTTTGGAATTTGTCAAGTAAGTTTAAAACTGAAACAATTTTTTTTAAGGAAAACTTCAAGATGTAGTCGATTTTTCAATACCGAACACAGGTAGATTTCGGTCTTGAAATGATAAATATTTCAAATATAACAAGTTATTGATGAATGGCAATTTCTTTGCGAAAAATATACTGAATAACTTATCCGGGTAACTTATTCTACACTTGTATTCTTCATTGGGTTCTTCATTTCAATTTAAATTTTTTCAGATTGTGGAAGGTGAAAATTCCTAAAAGATCAATAAAAACCCCTAATTTTCTTCACAAAAAATACTTCGACTTTTTTAAAGCAGTGTGGTCATTAAATAAAGTTATTGATTTTTTATTATTTTTTCAATTACGATAAGTTTCCTATTCAATAAAGATTAATCCATTAATTGATTCATTCACATTATATGTCCATAAATAACCTTTTCACTAATGACCCACATCTTTTCAAACATTCAATAATCCATATTGATTCTGAAAAAATAGAAAATACTTCTAATAAAAAGACTGATTCAACATTTTAGATTTCATCGTTTCAGACTTCTCTCTCTAATTTCTATAGCCGTTGCTTCTCATTTGAGTGCATTTGGCCAGACTCCTCCTGTCCATAGTGAACAGACCCTTCATCCGGGGGCGCAGCTGTCTTGCACGAGACAATGCTACCACCGTAAATTTTTTTATTCACCTTTTCTTAAAACAAACGATTCTATTTTTTACTGGTTATGGGAGGCCTTCAGATAAAAATTACACATCTATTATTGAACGAATACGTCGACATCCAGCCTGGTTACTGGCGTAGGGGGCGCCAGTCCTCTCAATACGTCTATCACTTTAATATTTATTCAAACTCAATTTTATTTTAGAATACACCTTTCTTCTGGACTCCACTCTGATTACGACATTCATATACCATTTTTGATTTAAAGGAGTAAAATAGATGTACAGTTTTTTATATTCTGAAAAAAAAATCTAAATCAATATTGTATTATCTCTGTCTTGCTCTCTCTATCTCTCTGACTCTTTTTATATATCTCTCTCCATTTCTAAAGCACAAATGGAAAACTTCATGTTATATAAAAACATAAAATTTATTATGGATTCAATATTGAATCTGTGAATATTATTATCTGATACAAGAAACTACTCATTTTTTGGTTCTTCTCTTTTTATATATTGTTATACCGGTTGGTTTCAAGATGGCATCAGGCACAGATTATCTAACACACGTTATTCATACGTGTAAATACTGCACAAAAAATGTTTAAAACAAAAGTTAAGTGTGCCAAATGTGAGGAAATATTTCATCCAGCTTGCATGAAACAATCTAGTGAGCAAAAACATTACGAATGCAAGCATGAATCTGCTCAAAATGTGGATGTGTACCTGTTACTGAAATATATCACCTAGAAGAAAATCCTGTGAGACAAATTATTGGAGATAAAAAACACAATAATTTCAAATGAAGAGAATTTAATCCAATTACTAGAGAAAAAATAATAAATTTGGAAAGCGCTTCAAATATATTTCTACCTAGAATACAGACATTGGAGATATTAATTAAAAAACGGAACATGTACAAAAAATACAACTACAGAAGTCCACCACTATCAAAAAAATGTATGTACTGGAAATCAGTAATTATTATTTTCTTTTCTTTATCCACACGTGAAGGAAACCATCTAGTCGCAAAACAGTGGTGTGTTACAGTGGAAGAAGCCAGTGACATTGGCACAATATAATCATAATCACTTTGCTCTCTCAGAATCAATTCAGTCAGTCAGACTATCACTGAATTACACATCATCCAGCAAATTCTCAAAAACCCAGTTTATATACATTTCACTTGACTTTGTACATGAAGGAAAGAAATGATAATTTAAAGACAAATGTTAATATTTATTCACATGCTACTAGACAAAAAAAAAACTAAAATCCAACACTCAACAAAATATATAGGGATCAAATGTCATACTGTGTTCAGAAACAAACTACATACAAAATATAAGGAATTTAATAATATTATGAGGATCAGAAAAATTCTGAAATCTTCTCTGTGAACATAGCTTTTGTGGTTTAGGCAAATTTCCTAATTCTAACTTTTGATTTGTGATGTCCAAAAGATGTGTGTACAATTTTAACTTTTCTTAAATAATAGTTCTATCTCCATTGCTTTCACAAAATTTGATGATTATATTTTTTCAATAGCCTATGTCTGATTATAGCTTTTTTGTAGCTAGTCCGTAAAGTAGCAATTCTATTTATGTATAGACCTAATGAATTTATAAATAATTACTTACATACTTACTATTCAAATGATCCATATTTTTCTCTATATTTCTTATTAGTTTCTAAATGATAAAAACATTTTTTTCTCAACTAAAGATTCATTATTTTTTATTAACTAGGTGAGGAAATTAATATTTATCTGAGAGGACAGTTATCCTAATATTGAACCTTCAAATGATAGCTGAAAAGTATCATCAGATAGTGGTATATTAGTTAATCTAAAAAATAATTCATTTGTTGATCATGGCTTAGTAGAAATCAACCAGTATGTCCACTTACTTTCATTCATAAATTCACAAAGTTCTCGAAACGAAGTGCGGAGCCAATTTCGTTCTTTTACCATAGGCGTGCGCTCATTTAAAAACGAAATTTAAGATTATTATAGAATATTTTGTGGTAAATTACTTATAACTAACTACAAAAACTAAAAACAATAATAACAACAGCGAATAAACTGAACACAATATCAATTTCCGACCGTTTATCATAACTAATTTGATGTCCATGGTACCGTCAAATCCTTCGATACTACAGCACTGAACGCGTTGGATGAGAATTTCATCCTAAGAGCGGTTGAAAGTCCTTGGCAACTCGGGCGGATCACGTGGTAAGAGAGCCTACTGGTTGTATTATTCTACTGTGATCATGGTGTGGAGGCTTCCACGGCCGATGTCTAACAAATTATCCTAAGCAGGATTTTATATCAGACGTTTCGTCTGCTACTGCGCAAATCAAAGGCGATGCAGCAACGATAGACGTGCCCTTGCTGGGCTGCGCAAACTGAAAATGTTCCTGGTACTTTTGTACTTATATGAAAACTACGTGTCGGACGGCCGACTGCTCTTATACCTGATTGGTCAGACTATTCTACAATGTATTGGTGAAAAGACGGGAGAGTAGCAGACTGGGATATGAAGTATACAGAAAACCAACCCACGTGGATCGATATTTGAACAATTACTCCAATCATCATCTGCGACAGAAAAGAGGTTATTAAGACTCTGGCATTTCTGCGAACCAAAGGGCTTCAAGAGGAAATGTGCCATCTGAAGAATGCGTTTTTAGGTAACAGATATAACGAGGCCGAAATTAACCAAGCTTTACAACCCATACAGAAATACTCCACGGCGACACTGGAGCGAACGACCAATGGAAGAACTTTTCTGCCCTACAAAAACGGTGTGTTGGACTGAATTGGAAGGATACTCGAAAAATATGGCCATTTTCAAGCCCTCAAGAACGATAGAGAAGAGTCTCAGGTCATCAATGGATCCATTAAATACCCCACGAGTCAAATAAGAACACTTCTCTGTCATCGCACATCACCTATTCTAACAAAAGGCTAAGCCTTTCTTATTTTTTCACATGGAATGCAAATGATTGGGACAAAAAACAGTCAGACCGGCTTTTTCCATATTGAGTGGAAGACATCAGAACACTGATTAACGGTTCCTGAAATGTCGTAAGATATAGTAGGGGTGGTATTAATCATGAGAGCCTACTACTCCTTCAAGTTTCCATGGTGTATTTTGTCAGCACTAATTTTATTGCAGATTTGGCCATTTCCACCAAAAGTTATTTGCTCTCTCTACTCTCGAATGATCCAATAAGGAATAAGACTAGTGCCAATGAAACTGAAGAGAATACCATCATCAACTTTCACATATAGTCAGTGGGCATACTTGAAGACTGAAGAATTCCGTCTTCAAGTATGCCCACTCGTTCGTCTTCCTCGAACTAAGCTGAAGCATACAACAAACAACAGGTTTGTCGCCGCCCCATCGATTCTCAATTATCGGAAATCATTGACTTTATGTTGATGATATACACTACCTTGCACTGACGAGTGGCCAAACAGCCCGAAACCGGTCTGCAAGTGTGTTCCAATAATTGAAAATCCATTGCGGCAGTTGTATCGCCAACAGCATATGCAGGAATAACTTCTGTGAAGAATCCTGCACTGACACCTGCCGGATATAATCCAACGCCCTTCGTGGTATTAGCCAGGAGAGTAGTTGTTTTCTGATAGGTGTCAGTCCATTAACCTACTGTGTAGGGAGATGAGACTGGCCTGAACGAATTGTTCTTAGATAATTTGACCATCATCAACACCACCAAAGGAAAAGATGCATACCACATAACAAGATGTCACACATATCTGAGATACATATATCTCAAACACCATTTTTTATATTCTCATTATGAATAGGATAAAACAATAATAATTCTCTATTTTTCAACTCGTCAATTATCAAATTATATTAGTGGAAAGGACAAAGGTTAAAACACATCTATCTCTGGATACTTCTGATTTTCACACTGAAAGATATAATTCACATGTCAGGTCATATAAAACCAAATCTGTTATTTAATACTGATAGTTATAAAGAAAAACTTACCACCTAAAGTTCAACTTCCAATTGAATCCTCCCCAAGTCATATCTGAAGCAGTAATATATTCAAAAGTTTCATCCGATATTACATCAATTATTGGACAAACAACTGTCTTCCTATCTTCAACTATTCTAGAAAGCAGAGGCTCCAACCATCCCTCAGTACACTCACAATGAGCATCCAGGAAGGTAATCACCTGACCTTTCACATGTTTAGCTCCCAGAAGACGAGCTCTTATCAGGCCCGATCGTTTTTCTGTTCGAAGAACATAAACCGGAACTGGAAGTGTTTTCACATACGCTTCTAATTTTTTGCCTAAATGTTCTGGAACAAAAATAACAGTGAAGTTGGCATCTAATAATAGTATATTTCAAATTGAAAAGCAAAAGTACATAGAGTAGAAGAAATATTGTCTATTGACCTATTCGAGTGAAAAAGAAAAACCATTGAGGATGTAAGAGATTTATTACTCTGCCTATTTTTTTAAAACTTTTGTTGAATACACTTCATCGAGAATCGTATAGTTCTTGGAAAAATGAAAGCTTCTATGACGTGAATGACACAATATTTTTCATCTATCACAAATATTAATAATTTTCACCAACCATCATACAGACATTGTCAAACATAGTTCGTATATCCATATTACCAAAAAGTAGCAGCATTCAATAGAATTGTTCACAAACTGTTGAATATTTCATTTTCATAGAGTAAATATCAAAGCGAACTGAGGTTCATCATGAAAACAATTACTACCTGAAACTTTTATGAAGGGGATATTATTGGTTCCATTCTTTCTAAAAAATTATAAAAACAAGGTTCAATTAACTTCATGAAATGATAGTAAACATCATGCAATGAACGACTATGGGTAACCTACAAAAAATATCGCACTCATGTTCTGAATGAAAAAATGACTTGAATGTAGTCTATGTAAACAATTACAATTTTGAGTGAATTCAATAAAAACAATACTTCACTACTGGACACATCAGGAGTACGTCCTGTTTCTTGCCCTAAATCTGATATTGGCCAAACAGTAGAAAGCTTCAAAAATTGATAAAAGAACATAGAAGTTCTACCTTTCATAATTTTTTTATAAGAACAGATTTGAAAACCATCCTTTGGTATAAGAGTAGGAGTTCAATCATGGCTAGAACGTATACAAACATTTGGAATGGAACTGTATAAAAGTAGATATTTTAGAATGCTTATTTATAAACCATTAGAATAAAGAATATAGAACTGCTCAGAAATCAGATAGAGTAAGTAACATGAGTATAGATTTTTTATTATCGTGAAAGCAAAATTATTTTTAATAAAACAATTTTAGAAAAAGATAGAAATGATACAAATTCAAATTCAAACGTCATGAATTAAAACCATGTGTGACATCAGATGACCTCTATCTATAAGTGTTGTGGTGGGCTTGGGCTCCTCGAATTTAGAGAAGCATCAAAATGTGAAGGGTCTCTGTGAAGAAGTAATGGTTTACAAATACTGAATGAAACCGTACTGTGAAAGTTCAAACGTATGTACTTCAATAAAATGGCTTTATGAAAGTATGTGCTGCCATATGCAGATTTGTGATGTCAACCAATCAAAGAGTATTTTTGATGTGATATATAAATTTTTGTTGAGAACAAACACGTAAATAGAAGAGTTTTATTGGTATTTAAAACAGCAAGACATGAAAGAAGCTGAATTGGTCGTATCATTAACATGTTTATTTTTAATTATCTTGTTGTTAATATTATTAAATAATTAGTGAAAGTCGTTAAAATTCCATTTATTATAAATTGAAAAAACTCTATGTTCACGTTTGTATTAGATAGGTCTGTTACATAGTGAAACAGGTGTTGTGCTTTTGTAATTCTGATTTTATAAATGGTTCAAACTTACGATGAATAAAACATAGAATGTTGAACATTGAATGTGCTTGAATATAATTGAGCCAGCAAAACTCAATTTTTTTCTTTCTCCAATAATTAAATGGACGAGTAACGAAATATATTTATAGAATATTAGGAACTTACATAATGAATTTGTTGAATGGAGGATACATTAAAAATGTACTACATTACTACTGATATGTGTAGCATTTTGATGAAATTTATTCAAAACTAAAATAAAAAAAAATTCTGAATGTAATACTTTATCCATTACACAGAAACAACATGAGTTCTCCTTTCAAAACTTTCGTAATAGTAAGGTGAACTAGTATTCGGTCTAGTGTGAAATTGACAAACCGTTAAAGCCATAATTAATTAGCATTGCAAAAAGTTTTTAATGTGATCAAATCAGACACTGATGCATTGGATTGTTCATCTTTGAATACCAAAAATAGGGTCAATTTTAATAATAATCAAGAAATTAATCATGCACTTTGCAAGCACTTTTTACAATAGATACTGAAGTTACTAAATACTTCAAAGCGTTTTTATAATGAAAATTACGATAAAAAAGTAGAAGGATCATCCTGAATAAAAGAGTGGATAACAATATTCTTTACAAGGGGACTATCGATGGGCCGCCAGAAAACTCAAATCAAGGATAAACTAGTGTTTCTTAAACATCTTACTAAAGGCCGGCGAGCCCATTAGGCGATCGTCAAATTTTTTTGGACGACAAGACGAAGGGGAAAAGTTTGTGAAAATTGTTTATTTATTATCTTCGACTCCTCAGTCTGAGGAGTCAAACTTGGCAAAAGTGCAAAAACAATTGCTCAAAACCTATCGAAATCCTGCTATTTGATACATGGAAAATGTCTGAGGTATTCACACAGTTATTTTTATCAAGTACTGTTCTTGGTTTTTCACATTTGGTCTTTAATTGAGGACCATCTGCCCGGTACTGACAATACCCAACAGGCTGAAACAGCTGTCTACCGGTGGCTCTTGAATTGAAATAAAATTGGGAATGATCAGAATAGTACTTATCTTTATCTTTTGAATTACATCAAATTAGTTTCCAGCAGCTCGACTGCATTAACCAATACTTACATCAAAACTTGGCAAGTTGACTTGGGCGTCACACCTATAGGTGGTTCCACTTATGCCTCGCTTGCGTTTTCACAGTTATTTTTATTAAGTACTTTTCATTATTCACATTTTGTCTTCAATCGAGGACTGCCTGCCCGGTACTGACGATCCCCAATAGGCTGAAACAGCTGTCTACCGGTGGCTCTTACATTGAAATCAATATGAGGATGATCAGAATAGTACTTATCTATTTATTTTTTGATTTTCATGGAATTATTTTCCAGCAGATTGACTCTGTATTAACTTTTCTCGATTTCATATCATTTCTAGAAACGTGTGGATTCGTTTTCCGATGGCATTTCAGGTTAGCTTCCCAAATTTCTGCTACCGCAGTTGTCGGTTGATTGGTTAAACCACCATGACATAAAAACTTGGCAAGTTGACTTGGGTGTCACACCAATAGGTGGTTCCACTTATGTTTCGCTTGCGTTTACGGATATTTCTGGGGTTTTTTCCCAACACCAAATTTTTATTTTTAACACCTCAACACGTGTTTCGATCACCAAGTGATCATCTTCAAAGAGGAAGATTAAAACTAGAAACTAATGCGATGCCCAATAGGCTAAAACAGCTGTCTACCGGTGGCTCTTAAATTGGAATCAATATGGGAATTATCAAAATAGTACTTATCTATTTATCTTTTGATTTTCATGGAATTATTTTCCAGCAGCTTGACTGCATTAACTTTTCTCGATTTCATATCATTTCTAGAAACGTGTGGATTCGTTTTCCGATGGCATTTCAGGTTAGCTTCTCAAATTTCTGCTACCGCAGTTGTCGGTTGATTGGTTAAACCACCATGACATAAAAACTTGGCAAATTGACTTGGGTGTTACACCAATAGGTGGTTCCACTTATGTTTCGCTTGCGTTTACGGATATTAATAGCCATTGCAAATGCCAATTTGATTGGAAATTGCACACGTTCAAAATGAATTGACACATCTGTCGGTATAATAGGGATTCGTGGTATCGATATATTTCCACCTCGGAACTTGCTCATTTAAAATGCTGGCTTCTACAACGTTTTTTAATAAATTTTTAATAACTAATCGCGTGTTGTTGCACAGCCGTAGTGGATTTAAATAACGGAGCAATCCAACCTTCTGTTGTAAATTATACGGTGGCATGTCTGGCAAATCCAATGAATTGAAAAACTGTTCGATAATTCATAGCTTCAGTGACATCGCAATCTGTATCTTCGCTCGATGGATAAACAATAATAGTAACTGAAAACTGCTAAGCTGAATTGAAAGACAAGCCTAAGTGAAGAAGGACGATGACATCTTCCTTTACGAAGATGCCAGTGAATAGTCCCAGAAAAAGACAATAAAAATAATTAAACAATAGTTCGGTTGATTGATCTTCTGGTAACCTTAAATCTGACGTTGAAATCTTATTGAAATTGATATTTGGTGGATATTTCTTTATGTCTATGTTGGGAAGAAGGGTGCGGAAAGATTGACCTTTTTGCCTAGAGTGGAATACTTGATTACACCAGCCTAAATCTCATATGTAATCCACCTAGGTAGCTCTGTAAGTTTGTATCAATACATCACTGTTATATGGTCCTTTCACACTCTAGTTTCCACTCTAGCCCTAGTTGCCTGTTAACAAATGGGACTGAGTTTTTTGCCTACCAAGTAGAGAAAGGTAGATATTTTGTAATCCTTTTGAAGACTTACCTCTTTCACTTGCATCGTCAACTAAAATAATTTCTTTCAATAGCGGTCTAGGCGACCTATTTATTACACTCCACACAGTCCTAAGCAGGGTTGACCAAGCTTCGTTGTGGAACACTATCACAATTGATGTTGTTGGTAGAAGGGTTGGATACTTTTTGGTTTTACAACTGCAACATAACCCAAACATCTTCTTGAAAAATCTGTCAAATATAATCGAATTTACTATTTAGGGTTCGCAAAATAAAAAATGAAGCCTCTTTTCTGAAATCAAATGATTGCATCACACGAAGACAACTACTGATACAACACAGTACCAAGAATCAAAACAGATATTTTTTAAATAAATTATTTTTCAATGAAACATTCACGATTGAAATTAAGCAGGGTGAAAATTTTCATTTTCTAAGTATAACAATAGTTATAAACAAAATACTTGATTTCCAACACACCAAAATGAGATAATTGATTCATTCACTAATAGCCGTTTTTTATGTATCTGAATTCATAAATATAAATAAAACAAATGAAAATATCAACATCAATATTGATGGTCCAAATATAATTGCTTCTAAATTCAATTAATTTTTCGTTCATGTATATCACGTTAGCAAGGCACTTCTCAAAATATGCAAAACTCACGATTCAACAACTCGCCACTATTTTTTTGCACTAATAATCAGTTTCAAAAGAAAATATCTTTTCGTTTCTTTTATAAATAAAATACACGTTGTATCGCTAACTTGACGTCAAGTTAGAGATACAACTTTATTATTTTCGAGTTTTTCGTGATTTTAACTAGGTCAATTGTTTGCTCTGATTATTGGCTAATTATTTGGGAGGAAAAAAAAATTCTTTTTGTTTCAAAAAATACATGAAATATCGCTAACTTGACGTCAAGCTAGCGATAAAACATTTTCATTAGTGACTTTTCCACATCTGTGACTAAACCATTAGTCTGCTCTAATTATTCGCTAATTAGTTGCGAAGAAAAATATCTTTTTTTTGTTTAAAAAAAATACATGGCGTCTCGCTGACCTGACTTTAGCAAATATTTTCTTTAAATATTAGAAAATATATGCATCACGTTATCGAGACACAATGTATGAAAATGCAAGAAAAAAAATTCTCTACAACTAAACAGCGATTTCATATAGCAACCTAATATTCTAGTCAAAGTTCCGGAAAAGTCAATAATAAAAAACTTTTATCGCTAACTTGATATCAAGTTAGCAGGACATCATGATTTTTTTTAAACAAAAGGAAAGAAAATATTTTTCTCTGCAACCAATAAGCGAATAATTGGAGTCAACTGATGGTCTAGTTATTCTGGAAAAATCAAGAATGAAAATGTCGCCAACTTGACGTTGTAGTTTACTGAACAAAATCACAATTTTGCTCAACTGGCTATCAACCGAGGTCCTTTCGCCGCCCTAACATAATGTATTTTTTGAATAAAAAGAAAAGAACATTTTTGTCTCCGCAACTAATGGTCTAGTCAATGTTTTATCAAAGTCACTAATGAAAATGTTGTATTGCTAACTTGATCTCAAGTATTTTTTTAAAGAAAATAAAAATATAATATTTTCTACCGACTGATAAATGAAATATTAGAGCAGACTAATGACTTAGTAAAAGTTCTGAAAAACTCAATAATAAAAAAGTTATCACTAACTTGACGTCACGTTAGCGAGATATCATGTATTTTTTAAAAAAGGAAACTTTTTTCTTGGAATTTATTAACGAATAATTAGAGCAAACTAATGACCTAGTGAAATGTTTGAAAAACACGATAATAAAAAAGTTGTATCGCTAACTTAAAGTCAAGTTAGTAATACCTGTATATTAAAAAAATTGAAAAAACATTTTCTTTCGCAACTAATCAGCAATAAAATAGCGGCAAATTGTGGAATAATTTGTTTTTTATTTTTCTCAAAATGCCTCGCTAACTTTTTATACATTTTTCATTTAAGCTCCTACGAACAAAAACCTCACTGCCCTAAAAATGATTTTAATTTTATGACCCTATTTTTGAACAAACACTTTATTGTAGATTTCCCAAATTTCAAAAATAATAAATGATTTTTTCTTTTATGTAAATTGAATTGAACACATTATTTTCAGAACATGTTATTTCAAAAGCAAATGTTTTCTGGAAGAGTTCAATGTTTTCTAAATTCATAAAGAGATTATTGACAACAGGTCAATACATCTGAAAATTACAGCAGAGTAAACACACGCCTGAAGAATCAATCGTATGGCGAAATATGTGTTACGTTTTTGTGAAACTGTTGAGTGAGAGTCTAACAATAAAGTGTTTTTTGAATACGTTATCGAGTATCGACCGATTCCATAAAATAGGGAATAGATAGCCTCAGATAATATTTTCAATATTATAAGGTCGTCAAATTTTAATTTATAGAAGGGTAAGGTTGGTTTCCTTTGAGAGAACTTTTCATCTGTTGATAACTGGTAGTGTCAATCATGTCCATGAATAATTTCCACTTTCTACTATTTCATAATGGCTATTTTGTAATTCTTTCAATACTCTTGCCAATTTTATGTTTTCTATCACCTAAAAATACCTTGGTTGATAAGAGGTTTCAAGATTACCTTTTACAAAACCATCATTTATTTATTTTAATATCAATCTAAATCATCTTATCATTGTAAAAATACGAAATTCATTACCATTTGAAAAATGTGATAAACTAATAAAAAAAAGAAATGTATTTTATGCAATTTACATATAATTTAATTAGTTTTTCAGTACTTTATTCGTAAGAATTGAGGTTGATAATCAACCATTGAGGAACTGATTGAATGTAGCATTATTTATACTATTCTTTTTTTTTTGACTTATTTCACTTGTATATGTTCCTCCTAGACAAAAGCTTGAGACATCGAATCAAATCTGGATTTATAAACACATTCCCAATCTTTTTGTTAGCAGTTCTCAATAGATTATTATGTGCAATCCTTATTTCAAAACTATCCATTGTTAAGTTATGATTTGGTTAAGTACTTTAAATTATTCAAATAAATAACAAGAATCCATGATTAAAAACTCTCAAACTTACAGTTGAGAAAAATTATAAAAAAATAAGAATATATTCAAACTGCAAGGATAAATCCCATATAAATCAACTAATTTCTTTCAATCCATGGACACACTTAGTAATCTTAAACAATACTTCATGAATGAGTAATTCTGCAGAGGTTATCAGTTGTCTGCACATTGCATGCTGGTACTTAAATATGACCTTTAACTTCAGCAAGTTGTGTCATACAAATATTGTGCTTTCACTACGGCAGGGCTCCTTCTAAAAGTAGGCAATTAAATTGATAATTGCTGGTTTAATTAAATGCAGAGAAGTGGACTCATTAGAATTAATAACTAGAGGTTTAATCAGAAAAGTCGTACCTAATTTGTTTTTTAATGTGGACAAATATCCCACATATTTGAATATTTTGTTCTTTAAAAATTCATAACAATATTTTGAGCTATTTATAGTCCTAATCTTGAAAATAAATAATCTAGGATATAAGGCAGTGACTGGCGTAAAAAAATAAAAATACTATTTCACAGAAAAGTCAAAATTATTTTTTTAACATGAAAATTTATCCCACTAATATTTTTTTGAGGACAAAACACAAGCACTACAGAAAAATCCTCAAGGCGTTCTTAGAGCGGTGTTTGTGAGAAAGTAGTGATTCACATTGAATTTGAATCGCTGGAGATTGAATCCATTTGAAAAAAACGTTCTGAGGAAGTTTATTCCACATAAAAGCCGTTCTCCAGAGGAAAGAGTTCTTAAACAGCGAAGTTCGAGGAAAACTGAGTTGAACCTCAAAACGATGAGCAGCCACATTATAAATTTAAAAATATTTTAAACTATTTATAGTCCCAATCTTTAAAATACTGACTAATGTTAAAAAAATCTTAAAAACACTATTAGATTGGTTCAGTTTCTTAGATGTAAACTCTATGTGTTCTCTCCATGTGAAAAGGGAATCAATCATTGTTCCTAAAAACTTTGTACAAGTTGTTGATCTCAAAGATTCATTGAGAAAATTGAAGGTGAAGTTATGTAGACTCCGATGAGAATATGCAAATTCAATACAAACAGTCTTATTGACATTAACAATCAATCTGTTTTCAAAACACCACTCACTGAATTCTTGTATATATTAACTGTATATATCCACATTTTTTCAATTTTCCTTTAACCAAGTAGCCTTCATTGATTTGTTGGTTTCATGTATGCCAATGCAGCAGCACATTTATAGAGTGGTTATTGCTACATTTCAATATTTCATAGGTAATAATGAGGAAATTTCACTCTCGAAAGCACTTGGTAACAGCTTTACTGCTCAACAACTTTTAACAAAATTATATATATATATTGATAGCCAGCAGACATTTTATCAGATTTTTTACAGTTCATGTTAACACTATGTCATTCAACTATAATAGTATTTCTATATTTGATGTGTATCACGATTAGATTATCTCCTATTTGTAGGAGAAAAAAATTAGAAAAACAAAATTTGGTTAGTCAATATAAAACAATAACATTTTTAGGATTCATAACAATTTTGTATGCTAGTAGTCTGAGTGAAAATGTTATAAATTTTTCACTGAAACAATCAAATTTTTGAAATCGAGGTGAAATTACTACCACTTGTTTTTACTTTGAATTTGTTAAGAACACTAACAAACCTGATATAATTTTTGATGCTATCAGTTTTGTATCACGGTCAGTTTTTTATCAAATACAAATAATTTGTCGACTGTACTTTTTTGAAATCGTAAGGTTCAACTGATGAATGTTTGTCCATTTGAAGGAAATGAAGTGAAATTGAATAGAATGGGGAATGTTCTTCCTGACGAAAATTAAGTAGTTTTCATAAAAGAGCTCTAAAACAATGCTTTTTAAACTAATCATTTCAACCTTATTCTTTAAAAAATTATTTAAATACTTAAAAAAGAGGAATGAAATAATGCATTCAACATTTGAAGGGATTCTTTTCTATTTCACCATTTGGCAACATCGGTTATAGCAAATAAAGGACAATGAATCTGTTACCTGTATGATACAAACAAATATGACATATTTCAGAGACGTGCTGTTCTGTTTACTTATGTTCCGAGACATTCTGTGACATATGACATTTTGTGCACCTAACATATCTTCCTCTATATAAATTAATAACAAAACAACTGTTTTTTATGTGGCTTGTGGAGGTGGTATTGAACTATACTTTATATTTTGCCTTAATTGTTGATTTATAAAGATAATTTTCCTTTCTTAAAGTAGAATATCTAGGTACGTATAAATTATTTCAACTTGATATAAAATTGGTTGGTCATGATGGTAACTTTTCAAAGTACTTTTGGTTGAACATGAAAGGTCACCAATTTTTTTTTCAAATGGACACTTCAATTTTCATTTTTAAATACAGAATAA